CGTGGTGACTGCGGGCGCAGCCTCGCAGTTCTGGAGGTTTCAAGAAGCCACCAAGCACTGGCTGCCCCAACACAACGCCCGCCCCCACGAGCTGATGGCACTGTCCCCGCTGTTCTGAGACATGCTAGGGAAGGAGTGACTGTGTGTTTCGGCCTAGACATCCAGGTTTATGCGTGGTTGGCTTAGTCTGAAGATGTTTCTAGAACATCTGGCGGAGGACCTGGCCCCCCGTGGCTGCCATGACGCACCCCCCGACGTTGCATCTCGGTACCATGAGCAGCAGTAAGAGGGACGCTATTCCCTATGGCAAATGCTAGAACACAGCCACGCTCTCTGCCAGCTGGGGATGGCCTGGGATGTCACAGTGCTCATTCCCTGACACCCACTTGTCTGTCACCATGTTCTGAGGCTGACACGCACACACATGACCCACGTGGAGAGTGAGCCTACGTCCGACTTACATTTACACCTCTTGTCCCGACATACGTATTAAGAGTGACCCTTTTCCTCTTGGAGGGCCCCGTTCGGACAATAAGCCATATAGTTTTGCTACTCATAGGTCACCGCTTCCTCAGCCCCAGAGGGGGAGGGGCAGAGAGATGGAAGCTCCTGATAGTGACCTTGCCCGCCCACCTTTCCTGGGCCCCAGTGCTGAGCAGCTGCCTATGCCATTAAATTCCCATGACGCAGTTGTTACCACAATTCCCACTTGGCAGATGCAGAATCTGAGGCTCACAGAGGCTGGGCTGCTGGGTACGAAGGCAGCCCCGTGCCAGGCATCTGCGTCAGGAACTCTCCAGGACTTGGGTGTCCTTGGCTCTGCACAGGGACAGCTTCTCTCGTCACCTCCATTTCACAGATGTAAAGACTGAGCCTTAGCTCACAGATAGAAAGAGGGCCGGCTGCTACCCCGGTGCCCCGGCTGTGAGCAAATGCCCTGGTGTCTCTGTGCCTTGGTTCATCTTGTCTGTGAAACAGGAGTGAATCTGGCCCCTACCTTCTGTTGGTGAAGGATGACCACGCAGTGGGAACGAGTGCCTTAGGGGGTTGGAGGCGGCCACTGCTGGGTGGATGAGCAGCAGGAAGGGGCCAGTACACAGCCCCTGCACCTCAGGCCCAGGGCGGGCCCTCCCAGGAAGTTCGCAGCCCACAGCGAACCAGCCGCAGATTTGGGGGGCCTGGTGCAAAGTGAATGGCAGGTTCCTTATTCGGACAGTATTAAGAATTTCACTTAGCATCCAGCCCAGGGCAGGCCCTTCTGAGGGGCGTGTGGCTGCCCTGGTCACACACCCAGGGAGCTGGCCCTGCCACTCAGCTCTGGGGGGTTTGGGAGAAGGGGCCTCTCCACATGGAGCCCAGAAGGGCAGGAGTCTGGTGGGGGAGGGGATCTCCGTGGGGAAGAGGGAACAGGCAAAGGAACAGAGGTCATCCTGACACAGGGTAGATGGGAGGACAGAAGGGCGGCAGAGAACAGAGAAGAAAGAGGAGACAGAGAGATATGGGGTCAGGGGGCAACGAGAGACAGGAATGCAGAAGAGAAAGAATGACAAAGACAGACGTAATGACAGAGAGTGACAAGCAGCAACTTCTAAGCGTGAGGAAGAAAGACAAAAGCAGAAATGGAGAGGAAGACAGAAGAGGAAGGGGAAGAGACGGAAAGGCCCCTTCCCCCGTCCCCCCCCTCCATTCCCGAGAAAGTTTGGGAAGACATGATGGCTGCGCCCCAGAGCAGGTGGTGGGGCGACCCCACAGACGATCGCTCTTCCCGGGAGGCCCAGAGCAGCCTGCAGAGTGGGGGGCGTGGGGGCGCGCTCCGTTGCATTTACAGGTGTCTAAGAGCGTAGTAAACGTGGCCATAGGGTGTTTCCAAAACTCTCACAGAGCAGAGAAGGAGGGGCAGTGCAACCTCAGCAGAAACGGGAGGGGCCTTCACTTTGGAAAGGAAAGGCAGAGCCCCCTGGCAGCTGGAGACCACATGCTGACCAGAATGTGTCGGTGTCTTTGGTTTATTTTAACAGTAAACGGTAAGTGTTATTCACACACAGACTGTTTGGCGGGGCAGGGCGGTGGGGGCTGTGGTGCAGTGTTTGGGCAGGTCCTCACGGAGAGAGACTGACTGAAGGTCCTGTTAGGTTTCAGTTGTCACCTTCTCTAGACGCTCTGTCTGCCCACTGGAGCTTAGGAAGCCCACGAGAACACGTTGTTTTCCTACAAGTGTTTCATCAAGGGCTCTCGGGGGATAACAGACACGGCAAGTCTGCTATGAAACAGTGTCTGGGCCACCCACAGGGGACCCAAGAGCCCACCCCAGCCACCGAGATGACACGGTCGCTGGAGAGAGGCCCCGCATTAGCCCCGAACAGCACCCTCTCAGGCTGGTTCAAAGTGGATCGGAGGGAACTGCCTCCTTGGGGCACTGAGGAAGCTGCAGTCAGGTTTAAAATCCCAAAAGTGTTGGTGTGATGGTCAAGGGGATAAAGGCATTGAAAGCCATGGACTTTATAATAATACTTCATAATAACACTCAGGGGCATCCGTTCACAATTCTAATATCTTTGAATTTACATTTTTGAGTAGGCAACATAACTCTATCTAACTGGTGATGTTCAAGACCATCTAAAACTATAAAGAGGTTAATGTGCAAATCCTTGCGTCTACTCTGCCACCTTCCACCCAGTCCCCACGACACCCATCACCCTTTATTGGTTTCTTATGTCTCCTTCCCAACCTCCTTTGGGCAAATACAAATGTATATCCTCAGTTCTCACCTGCTTCGCACAAAAGGCAATAAATTATACACACTATTTTGCAAGTTGTTTTCTTACCTAACAATGTATCTTGGAGATGGTTTCCTATCAGTGTATTAAAATAGCATCCATGTTGGATTTGCCATCATTTACTTATGGGGATGGGCATTTGGCTTGTTTCTAGTCTCTTACTGTTATAATTCATATTGTGTGTGTTATAATGTGACAAGCAATCATTTTGTGTATGTCTCATTTCCCGTTTATTCTTTAGAGCACCGAGGGCACTCATACCCTTTTCCTTTATAATGAGCAAACAAGTTTTAAGCACTAGCTATTCTGTTTTAATCTGTAAAAAAAAAAAAAGTTTCAGAGCCACTTAGACCTTCTGTTCCCATAGAGCCAAGGCCACATCTAGGGTACAAATTTTCACAGGAAGTCAGGGAAATTTGGTTCTTACCCCAGCTGTCCTAGCCATTCCAATTCCTGGTCCTCGGTTTCCACATTTATCAAAGGAAGCCCACAGCCATTCACGGGCCCCCATGGGGGTCAAGGATGAACAGTGAGTTCGGCAGCTGTATGAAACTGTTTCCAGTGTGAAGGAGGCAGGTTTCTGCCCCAGGCCCCCTCCTCAACCCCAAAGGGTAGATCTGGACCCTGTGGGTCCCCAGAGAAGAAGCCAGCAACCGGCCAGCCGGCAGGTGTCGGGTGCTGTCCCCAATCTCAGAAGGCCAGGGCCCGAGCCCGAGCCCGCAAGGGGCCACATTCTGAGCAGCCCCAAGTGGCCACCACGCGAGGCTGCTTTCTGAGTTTATTCTATCTTAAAATAAAGCAATGATTGCATTCCTGGGAGGTGGAGAAACCTCTCCCCTTCGTGAACTGGCCCTAACCTTCCCAGCCCCTCAGGAAAGGATCCAAAGTAATTTTCCACCCGTTGCTCACGAAGAATCGGTCCTGGCCGGTGACAAGGTGCCAGGCAGGAGTCCTCGTCTGCCTCCCATAACACTCCCTCTCCCACAGAGAAGCCTCTGTCTGCCTCCACCCACTGCTCTGCGGGTACAGGTTTCTGAGTGCCCCTTCCGTGCCCGCCCCCCCCCGCCAGGGTGCAGCCAGAGCGGAGGCCCCGGGAACCACAGAGATGCCGAGTCACGGGACCATCACTGTCAGCCCTCAGTGTCCTTCCTGTCCCCTACATTGCCCCAGCCACCCATCAGCCCTGATCGACACCCACCTCCCACCGCACAGCTGAGGAACCGCCCCTGATCGCAGCCAGTGCCCAGGGAAGAAGCCACCAAGAACCTGGCCAGCACATGGGGCCACAAGGACCCTTCCCCCAGGGAGAAGGAAGTGCCTGGCTCTGCCTCCAGATGCTCCGCTCAAGCTCTGGAGGGTCACGGTGGGGTTTTGGGTTGCAGCTGCGGGGGTCGGGGGGAAGGAGGGCAGAGGGGAGATTTGAGGAGGGGGCACAGGGTCAGGAGGTATGTGGAAAAGACAGGGGCCAGGCAGCCACCTTGGACTGGCTCCTCCTCGCAGCGGCCTTGCTCTGCACGCCAGGTCGGGGCCGCACCCAGAACCCCCCAGCGTTTCCATGTGGCACACTAGGGGAGACACAAGCTGGCGGCCACCACCCCTGGGGCCCTGGGGCCAGGGGCGCTTTGGATGTCACCCCTGCATCCCGGCAACCAACCAAGAGGGAGGTGACGCAGCTCTGGTTTGAAAAAACAAACCTCCCAGCGAGGTGAAGCAATTTTCCCAAAGCCCTAGAGCACAGGCAAAAAGAGGCAGAACTTCTCCCTCAACCCACCGTATTCCTGGGGACGGGGACAGCAGGTGACAGAACAGCAAGCGCCATGCACACACTGAGCACGGGCCTGAGCTAAGCACTTTCTCTCTGTGAACTCCTGAGCCCTGCGTCCCCAATCCTAGATTCTTTTCTTGAAACAACTGGCTGTGCTGAATACCAAAAACAGAGAGAGAAAACATAAAATGAAACTTGCTCACCCTCAAATTCTCACCCTCACTTCACAGATGAGGAAACCGAGGCTGACTAGCTTCAAAGTCAAGGATTTCGAAGCCAAAGAGTCAGATTCCAGAAGCTCCAAGCACCGCACCATCCTGCCTCCCACATTGATGGGACATGTTTCCCCAGACACCAACGCAGCCAGCGTGCCCTGTCCTCTCCCAGCGCCACCTCCCGCTCCCCCCACCCCGCACAAGGAAGGGATCCCCCCGAACCGAGTGAAAAGGTGGTTTTACCGTTTCAGCGGAGGGTGACAGGGGCCCCAAGTTCCTCACCCGGGACCATGAACACAGCCGGGGTAACCATCTCCACCCTCAAGCTCTGTGAGAAAGCAGCAGCTTGCAGGCAGGCGGTGGAGCCGTGGGGTGTGCCAAGATTGCAACACTTGCCTCCACAGCCTGCCCTCTTTTATCTGAGCTCTGCTGATGTACAGCTTCGTCATATTAAAAAAAAAAAAAAAAGTCCACCCAATTCTGGCCACTTTATCTACAGAAAGGTAGGGGCAGCAAGGTGCTGGTGGAGGGGGGAGGAAGTGGCCCTGCCTGCTTCTCCCCCAGGAATCAGCTCAGGAACTTCTGTCCTCGGTCCTGCAGCCAGCGGGGCGGGGGGCTCGCTGGCCCTGAGGAAGGTCCCTGGCCAAAGGGCTTCCCTCGTCTTGTGCCCACAGGGCCTGAGTGCCCACCATCGTGGGCGCTTCCTGCTCACCTGTGAGCGGTCACCAGTTGTAAGTGCCTCCGTGTGAAAGAGTTGATTGCTTTGGTTTCCGGCTGGACTGCGGGCGAGGACAGGCTTCTGAGGGGACGGAGCATGAGACGGGTCCGCTTTGATCAAGCCGTTAAAGGTGCACAAGCGAGCCCTCCCTGGAGGCAGGGTCCGGTGTAGGTGAAGAGGAAAGGGCCTGAAAATCCCAGAGGAGGCGGGCGGTCAGGCTCAGGCAAAGGGGCCAGGAGACTAGGCACAGCCCTTGTGGTGGACAGAGGAGGCTAGAGCCGGGTGTCAGGAGTCTCTTCCCTTATTACAAGCTGTGCAGCCTGAGGCAACTAACCTCTCTGAGTCCCATCCTGGACAGGAAACTATGGCTGCTAACAGGTTGGCAGTTGAGCAGGAAGCGGTATTTAAAGAATTCAATCTCGTCCTGCCCACTGGGCTCATTTGGTTGGAGCATCGTCCCACACACCAAAAGGTGGAAGGTTCGATCCCCACTCAGGGTGCACACAGGAGGCAACTGATCTGCCTCTCTCTCTCTCTCTCTCTCTCTCTCTCAGTCTCTCTCTCCCCCCCTTCTCTCTAAACTCAAGAAAGTATCCTCAGGTGAGAATTTAAAAAATAAATTCAGATTCAGGGTGGGTGGGGCAGGGGAAAGTGGTGATGGGAAAATGGAGAGAAATGTATTTGAACAAGAAAAAAAGGGCATAAATAAATAAATAAATAAATAAATAAATAAATTCAATCTCGCTTCAGAAATTATTTACCAAGGCCCTCACGCATACCCCATCTTCAGGGCCCAGAAGTCTAAGGCCTGCTTCCTGCACAGGGGCCTGAGCCGAAGCCCTTTCTAATGGCAGTTTCATGGATTCCTCGTTGCACCACGCAGGGACGATCCTGCCTTCATTCTCAGCCACAACATTTACAAGGGGGGAAGTCGAGGCTGAGACCCAGTGGTCGACTGGGGATCACCCAGCTGCCCACCAAGGGACACAGGACTTGAGCCCCGGTCTCACTCCCAACGGAATCCTTGGGCTGCAGACCCCGCGGGAGAGCAAAACAGGGACGCTGCTGGGGAAAGCGCGGGGCTGGGGGGCGGGGGAGGGGGGGGAGGGCTTGCCAAAGGCAGACGGGGTGGGCGGGGGAGGGGCTGGCTGACAAAGGAGAAATGAAGGGGCGCACAGCCTCTCTGGGCCTCAGTTTCCTTGGCTGTGAAATGGCACCATTTGTCCCACTTCCTATGTCTCCACGGAGTTTGCCGTGATCCTTCCAAGAGACGCGACTGGCCCCAGAAGACACTTTTGATGGTGGTGGCAGGAAGTAGCGCTGGGCAGAAGCCAGGACTTGCAAGTGAAAACTACCTGTCCCTTGGGGCTGTGGAAACAGCCTAGGAAGCTCTCGGAGGAGCAGCTCGGGGTCGCTGCAGGTCCCCCGGCAGCTGGAAAACAACGTGGGACGCCAGCGCTTGGGAGCACTAAGATTATGGAGTGAACTGAAAGCCTGGAAACCTGTATAATTTTATTAACCAATGTCGCCCCAATAAATTAAATGAAAAAAAGGAAAGAATGCCTGGATCAGAGGCCACCCGGCAGGACTGGGAGGAGGCCCAGCGCCCCAGCCTGATGAATGACCTTTCCCAGGCCCGCCAGGAATCACGATGGGGAGGTGAGGGGCGTGGCCCAGCCAGGCCCCAGGAAGCCGCGCCTACCCTTCCCCGCAGCCCTGTTTCTGATTTCCTTCTTGGCTGAGGCTTTGCATAGGAGGGGAGAGCAAAACAGTAAAAGAAAGGCCCATTTAGGCCAGACGGGCCCTGCTTTCCCCTAGGAGGAGCGAGGCTGGCGGTCCGCGGCCTCCACCCAGCTGCAGGAAACAGAGGGCGAGCTCGGGGGAGGCTACGGCTCTGGCCCCGTCTGCACCCGGCAGGTCTCAGCCTCACAGAGCTCGGGAGTCCCAGGGCCCACCGTCTGTCTCCGGGCCGCTGGAGCCGGCTCCCTCTCTTTTTGGGTTTCAGCCCCACTTCTGTGCCACAGGTGATCCCACGTGAGCCACACAACACTGTCGCGAGGAGGAAAGCCCTCTCATGATCCCCAAGTGACAGCGGAGGAAACTGAGGCTCAGAGCGGGTCAGAGACCTTCCCAGGACTCACAGCCAGCCAGCTGCAGAAATGGGTTTCAGATCGGGTCCATGGGGCAGCAGAGTGTCTGCCTCTGCCCATCAGGTGGCCGGTCCGTTCTTACTCAAGCGACACCCTTTTTCTTCATGACCCAAACCCCTGACAGTTGAAGAGGCCCCGTGTGAGTTCAGTCTGTCAGAAAAGAGTCGGAATATTGTCTGCCCTCCCTGAAGCCCCACTCCTGACGTCAGTCGCCCCACCCCCCACACCGCGGGGAGGCCCGTGGACGCTTCAGTGCCCAGCCTGGCTCACAGGACGGTTGGGAAGTCTGTCTCCCCCTTGCAAACATGTTACAGGCCGACCACAGGTGCCATTCTGAATCAATTCTCTTTAACCCTGAAAGAAACACCTCATTTCCTCCCAACCTCTGTCAGCAAGTCCTGGGCGTGGGAGGAGAAGGGATCCATTATTCAGTCAAAAAAAGCCATCACTGCAAAGAAATATTCTCTTCTCCCAGCTGGTTTACAGAGCAGACAACCCAGGACATAAAGCCACAAACCCACACGCCCCGTGCCAAGTTGGAATTTCCAATTCAATCAGCTTGAGATCGTCTGAAATCTTCCATTGTCCAAATGTTCAAGTTTAAGCCCTGAGTTTGGGAAGGGCAAGGCCTGGGGACAATATGATGCTGTTCCGGTGAAAAGCGGGGGGACTGGACCACCCGGAAAATTGGATGGGACGTTCAAGGCCCTACAGATTGTCCAGACGCCCTCCGGCCCCCCCGGCTTCCTCCCACCACACCAGACACCCCTTACTCTTCCAGCCTCGAAATCATTGCTCACGCTGCTCTCCCTGCCTGAAATATCTTTCATTTCTGGCCAATTTCTCCTCCAGGCACTCAAGGCCAACTCATCCTTGGAACCAGCTCAAGCATACACTTACTTCTTGAGGTTATTTCCTGACTTCCCCAATTGCCGCTACTCAAAATTTGTTCCTGTAGTACCTCACAGCCTGAATGCACCGGGCAGGCACCGACTCAAGTTCCTTAACAGGCTTGAAGTCGAAATGGCCCAGAATTCACCTGCTGAGCTGAATGGACAATGGGTGGAATCGCCACGGGTTCTGTGAGCCAGGAGCAATGGACCCCATGTGCTTTAAAGCCATGCTTCTGGCTCGATGAACCTCACTGTTTACACATCTGTCTTTGAGCTCAACTGGGAGCCCCCTGAGGGCAGGGCTCGTGTCTCCCTGCATCCCATGCTCCCGGCACACAGTAGATGCTCAGCAAATGCTGGTGGAGTGTGTGGAGGCTGTGTCTTGGCTCCCTCACCACCTTCCTGAGCTCCTTTAGATGAGTCCTTCTCACTTTCTGAGCCTCAGATTTTCCATCTGGAGAATGGAAACGGGGACTGGCTCAGCGATATGGTTGAAGGCATGTGCCCTTCCCCAAATTCATATATTGAAGCCCTAACCCCCAATGTGATGGTGTTAATTGCCGGGGCGGGGGCGGGGTCCTTCGGCCCTGGCTGGTGTGGCTCAGTGGATTGAGTGCTGATCTGCAAACCAAAGGGTTGCCGGTTTGATTCCCAGTCAGGGCACATGCCTGGGTTGCAGGCCAGGTCCCCGGTAGGGGGGTGCTCAAGAGGCAACCACACATTGATGTTTCTCTCCCTCTCTTTCCTCCTCCCTTCCCCTCTGTCTAAAAATAAATAAATAAATTTTTTTAAAAAAAGAGAGAGGTGGGGCCTTCAGAGGGAGATTAGGTTGTAATGGTAGAGCCCTCATGCATGGAATTATAAAGGAGACTTTTATAAAAGAGACTCCAGAGAAGTCCCCAGCCCCTTCCACCATGCGAGGACTCAGCAAGGAGTCAGCTGTCTGTGGCCCTGAAGATGACCTTTACTAAACCCAACCATGCTGGCGCCCTGACCGTGGACTTCCAGCCTCCAAAACTGTCAGACATGAATTTCCGCTGTTTAGAATCCACCTAGTCTGCTGAAGTTTGTTATAGCAGCCCGAATGGACTAAGACACTCAGGGGTGACAAATAATTATCTCAGACGATTGTTGTCATCTGTCAGATTTTAAGACCATGCCTGGTTGGTAGATTGTCTTTAAAGATGGATGCTCACCTCATCCCCCACCCTCTATAAATAAACACATGTCACTCCCCTTAATCAAGAAGTGGACTCTATTTCTCCTCCCATTGGATCTGGGCTGGCCTGGTGACTTGTGGTGACGAACATAATGTGGCAGAAGCGATACTGTGCTGGTGCCAGTCCTATATCTCAAGAATCCTGGAAGCTTCTACTTTCATTCCCCGCAAGCCCTGAGCCTCCAGGCAGAGGAGCCCAGGCAGCCCCGCCACGTGCAGGGAGACAGCACGAGTCCCCCAGGACGTGAGGCCATCCTGAACACCCAAGCCCTCAGCTGAATGCAGCCCCAATGACCTGCCGCT